AATTTGAGTGTGATGCCATGTTTTGGTTATGGATTGTGTAAATGGGTGTGTTGATTGGTGTATGTGTGCATATGGAGGATGATTATGTCAATTAAGAGATTTGTAGTTGGACGATGTTTTGGCACTTTTTGGTTCAGTGAAAAGGGAGGTTTTTATGACCTTTTATACTTAGAATGATATGGCAAATACTATGAATGTGCAAATGAAGGTGACATGGTTAAAAATGAATAGAATTCGGATTTGGCTTTCTAAGACTTAAACTGTACATGCTTCACTAAATCGGTCATAACTGAAGTTATAAAAGTTGGATTGAGTTGATTCTTTAAGTTTTAAACAGTTAAAAAATAGACCTAAAACTTTTATGTTTTAGGCAAAAATTAATTCGAATTGGAAGATGAGGAAAACATTACTTGAAAAGTGATGAACTGTATGGCATCCACCTCCTTAATAGAGATTCCCATTTTTTTTTATAAATTCTATTAATCCACTGAATATTCTTACTGTCGAAATTCCTTGTGTTGTATGAAAAATTGAATGACTTAAATTAATGAATTTAGTAGGAGAATATTCATGTCATGGAGTTTTGCTAAATTGATTGATGAGTTGTGCAATTGGCCAAGGTTACATGTTAAATGAATGAATAGTATGATTGAGCATGGGAGATGTTATCCCATATGTTTGCATTCATAATGGTAATGCATATAGCTTATTTAGTTGACTTATGAACGAATTTATGAAATGTTAAAGAATGAATTCCATGAGTCTCTTGAGGTATAAACCAAGATTAAAAGAATTGAATCTTTGTGGGAACCATGAGTCCTTTGAGGTGACGACCAAGAACAAGGTAATGGTTCAAATGAATCCGATTAGATAACAAAGACTAATGAAAACATCAAGTACAAAGACAAAAGGAATAGGCATGCCATGTTTATGAATATTGCATAGGTCATATATGTTCTATGTTATATTATGTATGATTATATTATGACTTATGTTTATGAGAAAAGTCCAAAGTGTATGATATGTTTTATGAACTTGTTAATGTCGATGAATGACAGTCATGTCTTGTAGGTAGGTAAGGTCCTGAGTAATATACTTGTATAATGAACCTGAATAGTTTATAAATGACCATATTCCCGTACTGAGCGATTAGCGCTCACCCCACGAAATGTTTTAAAATGTTTTGCAGGTAAGGATTGAGGAATGAAGCTGGGAGAGGATTATGAGGGACGCTATAAGCATGAAGGGATGTTTTAATGATGACTATTGAATGGTTTTGCTAATATTTAGTGTAGTAATTATGTTCATATCTCATAATGTAGTAAATATGTCCATGTTCTATAATGGAGTTTATATGTTTGTGTTAATAAAGGAAATCAAATTGCTAGTAAAATTTGTAAAAGTGTGTATGTTCTAGTAATTATTACTATAGATTTCATAATTTACCCCAAGAATGGAAACTATATTATTTGACTTGTACAATGAACTTATTATAGTTTAGAAATTAAAAAGAAAAAATGTTTTTAAACTACAAGTTTATTCTTTAAGTAGGATTTTAAAATAAACTTCTTTCCTAGTCGTGCGTTTTCTAGGTTCTCAATAGCCAAGGGATACGTAGGAAATACCCTACTATGGAGGGGTTTTATAGTTGGTATCAGAGCGCCATTTTGGGTGTTCAAAATGATGTTTTGATTGAATTGTTATAGTTATTTTATATTTAATTGATGTTGGTAATGGTGTTTGTAAGTAATGGAAGTATCATTCCTCATGCGTCCCCAAGATACTCTCTCTAACCGATTGCTGTAAGTATTTTCTTTACTTGCTTAGTGAATAGAATTAGCTAACATTGATTGAAATTTGTGTGAGTAAAGGGTTCGCGAAAGGTTAATAGGAGGGGCGAGGAGAATGTCAATGAAAAGGGCACTAGTGAACCAGTACCATCGATTACCAATGCGTCCTCTAATAGTGGACCAGTTACGTCTACCCAAAATGCTTCTATTTTGGATGAGGATGCAATCAACAGGATGATTTAGGCAACCATTACTGAGGCCTTTAGGAGGGTTACCCCGGAAAGTATAAGTAACCAACTGATCACAAATCCCTCAGCTCCAGTAGTTCAACATCAGCTCCAGTAGTTCAACCTCAGCTCCAAATACTAGTTCCACCTCCAGTAACCAGACCAATTATGCTGATGGGTGCTACACCTTCTGCTCAAGTGGAACCAATCTATAATCTTTCTCAAAAGCACCAACCTCCAGAGTTCAATGGTTCAAACGATTCGGCGGTGACAGAGGAGTGGTTAGAGACTGTCGAACGAGCAAGGCCTTGTTTCCTATGAGTGACCAGGAAAAAGTCCGCTATGCTTTCTATTTGTTGAGACGAGATGCCCGGGTATGGTGGAAGCTAGTGGAGCATACCTATGTGACGAGTGCCTTTTCTTGGAATGAATTTAAAAGGCTATTTAAAACAGAATACTGGTCGACAGACATGTTATCCATAAAGACTCAAGAGTTCACGGAATTAAAGCAGGGTAATATGACTGTTAGAGAGTATGCTACAATGTTCAACTCCCTAGCCTGTTTTGCTCCTACTATGGTGAGTACTCAACAATGCCGGTTAAAGAGGATTATTAATGGATTGCACCCAAAAATTACCCAGATTGTTATAACGGGTGGTCAGCCTCCTCAGACTTATAGTGAGGCCCTGGAACGGGCATTGAGAGCAGAGATTTATGTGAATAAGGAGAGGCGGATGGAGAACCCCAAGTTGGTGATTAGTAGTTCTAGTTCGGGCCAGACAGTAGTTTAGAAAGTTGAAGTGGGCAATTCCACTCAGGCCCCAGAGGACAAAGGTAAAAGAAAGTTTCAGCAAAGATTTCAAAAGAAGGGCAGCAAAAATAAGAGGACTCCACAACAACAACAGAGAAAGAACAATCTTCCCTATTGTCAAAAATGTGGGAGACAACATAAGGGAGATTGTCTATTAGGGACCAATGTATGTTTCAAATGTAAACAATCGGGACACATGGCAAAGGACTGTAAAGTTACTCAGGCTACTTCCCTTCAGACTATTGGCGGTTCGATTGCCAGAGTTTACTCAATGGCTTAGAAAGAAGCCGAAGCCAATCCATCTGCAATTACTGGCCAGTTACAGTTCCACTTTACCTCTTCATATGTACTGATTGATTATGGGGCTACCCATTCTTTTATGTCATATGGTATTATAAAAAGATTAGGTTTAGAGCCTAGTAAAGTGGAACATTCTGTTAAAATTGAGATGTTTAATGGAGAGAATTATTTTGCTGATAGGTTGTTAATGGGGGAAACTATAGTGATTGATGGGCATGAGTTGAATGCGGATTTGATTGTTTTTTATATGATTTTGGGAATGGACTTCTTGAGCAAATATGGAGTATTGATAGACTATCGAAAGAAGAAGGCCATGTTTAATTTAGATGTTGGAGACAGATTCACCTTTGGGGAAGGTCATCTACACAGCCTGATGATAAGTGCAGTGAAGGCTATAAAGATGATAAGGAAGGGTTGTACAGGGTACATAGCTAATATGGTGAATAAAGAAAAGTTTTCAGACTTTAGTGTTCGGGATGTACCCATAGTACGAGAATTCGAAAATATATTTCCAGAAGATTTGCCAAGACTTCCTCCTGAAAGGGAAGTGGAGTTTTATATAGAGTTAGCTCCTTGTACGACACCAATATCTAAGGCCCCGTATAGAATGGCTCCAGCAGAGTTACAAGAGTTAAAGAAGAAGCTTAAGGAGTTGTTGGATAAAGGTTTCATTTGACCCAGTCATTCTCTATGGGGAGCTCCTATTTTATTTGTCAAGAAAAAAGATGGTTCGATGAGAATGTGTATCGATTATAGGGAGCTCAATAAGATGACGGTGAAAAACAAGTATCAATTGCCAAGAATTGATGACTTGTTTGATCAGTTAAAGGGAGCTTCAGTGTTTTCCAATATTGATCTTCAGTCAGGCCACCATCAAGTGAGGGTCGCTAACAAGGATATTCCGAAGACTGCATTCCGAACCAGATATGGGCATTATGAATTTATAGTGATGCCATTTGGATTGACTAATGCACCAGCGGTGTTCATGGATTTGATGAATAGGATTTTCCATGATTGTCTAGATAAATTTATAGTAATTTTTATAGATGACATCCTGGTCTATTCCAAAACAAAGGAAGATCATGAAGAGCATTTGAGATTTGTGTTACAAAGACTAAGGGAGAAAAATTTATATGCTAAGTTCTCTAAATGTGAGTTTTGGTTGGATCAAGTAGCATTCTTGGGACATGTTGTTTCACAAAAGGGTATTTCAGTGGACCTTAGTACGATTGAAGCAGTGATTGAATGGCTAAGACCAAAGACCGTAAAGGAAGTTAGAAGTTTTCTTTGGTTTAGCATGGTATTATAGGAAATTTGTGGAAGGCTTTGCTAAATTAGCTTCTCCACTCACAGTTCTAACAAAAAAAGAAGCCCCGTTCAGATGGATTGAAACCTGTGAGAAGAGTTTCCAAGAATTAAAAGGAAGATTAACTACTACTCATGTTTTAACTCTTCCAGAGCAGTGAGTATGTAGATTATGATATTTATACTGATGCTTCTCATAATGGTTTGGGGGCGGTATTGATGCAAAAAGGCAGGGTGATTGCTTATGCCTCTCGTTAACTGAAAGACTATGAAAAGAGGCATCCCACTCATGATCTCGAATTAGCAGCTGTAGTTTTTGCTTTGAAGATTTGGAGACATTATCTCTTTGGGGTTAAATGTAATATTTACACAAATCACAAAAGTCTAAAATACTTTTTCACCTAGAAAGAATTGAATATGAGGCCGAGAAGATGGCTTGAGTTGGTGAAGGAGTATGAATGTGATAGTATGTATTAGTTAGGGAAAGCTAATGTAGTTGCAGATGCCCTTAGCAGGAAAGTCTCCTTAGCTCAGCTAACTTTTCATAAGCACCTACAACAAGAGATAATGAAAGAGGGGATAGAGTTGGAGATTGGGAAATTGTCTAAAATTGAAGTTCGGTCTAAGTTGTTGGAGGAAATTAGAGAAAAACAAGCGGATGATGGGTTTAGTAAAGGAATTGAGCAGCAATTGAAAGATGGCAGAGAATCAGAATTCAAATGGGTGAATGGAATTTTGAAATCTAGAGATAGAGTGTATGTTCTTCAGGATATTGAATTGAGAAAGAAGATTTTAGAGAAAGCACATAGTACTCTTTACACTGCTCATCCAGGGAGTGTAAAGATGTATCAGGATTTGAGGAAGAGCTATTGGCGGCCAAGGTTAAAGAAAGATGTAACTAAGTATGTTACCAAATGCTTGGTGTGCCAGCAAGTTAAAGCAGAACATCAGCGCCTTTCAGGACTGTTGCAGGCCTTTAGTATTCCTCCATGGAAATGAGAAGATATTTCTATGGATTTCATTTTAGGTCTTCCTAGAGTGCAAAGGGGTTATAATGCCATTTGGGTGAGTGTAGATAGATTGACTAAATCTGCTCATTTCATTCCAATTACAGATAAGATCTCCTCTGATCAGATAGGCCAATTATATGTCAAAGAAATAGTAAGATTACATGGAGTACGTAGTAGTATTGTCTCAGACAGGGATGTAACATTTATGTCTGTATTCTGGAGTAGCATGCAAAAGGCACTGGGTACTAGGCTTAGTTTCAACACAGCCTATCATCATCAGACAGATGGACAGACATAAAGGACGAATCAAATATTAGAGGATATGTTACCGACTTGCTGTATAGTTCACAAGCTGAATTGGTGTGACATTCTCCCTCTAGTTGAATTTGCTTATAACAATAGTTATCAAGCAACCATTAAAATGGCACCATATTCGGCCTTGTATGGAAGGAAATGTAGATCTCTGTTACATTGGGATGAAATAGGAGAAAAAAATGCATTAGCTCAAGCTCTTGGTCCAAAAATGACACAAAAAATGATAGAAGATGCAAAGTTAATTTGGGAGAGAATGAAGCAGGCCCAAGACAGACATAAGAGCTATGCAGACCCGAAAAGAAAGGATATAGAATTCCAAGCAAAAGACAAAGTGTTTGTGAAAATCTCTCCTTATAAGAGGGTGATGAGGTTTGGAAGAAAAGGGAAGCTTGCCCCTAGATATATCGGTCCATATGAGGTATTAGAGAAAGTGGGCAAAATAGCTTACAGACTTGCCTTACCAGCCAGTATGGACCGGATCCATAATGTTTTCCATGTTTCCCTATTGCGAAAGTATGTTAGTGATCATTCGCATATACTATAAGCAAATGAAGTGGAGTCAAAAGATGAACTAATTTATGAAGAATGTCCAATTCAGGTTCTGGATAGAAGAATAAAAAAGCTCCGAAATAGGAAAGTACTGCTTGTTAAAATAATATGGAGGAATCATAATGTAGAAGAAGCGACATGGGAGGTTGAGCAAGATATGAAGGAAAGATATCCAGACCTTTTCAGCTGAATTTCGAGGACGAAATTCTTATAAAAAAGAGGGGGGGGGGGGGGGGGTGATGATTGTAAACAATGGCGTAAACGGTGACCAAGGGTATAATGGTTTTTTCATGCAATCCATATGAATTAAGTATCCTTAAAAGTGTACCAAGGGTAAATTAGCCATTTACCTAATGGGAATGCTTAATTACCAAGTGTTTAAAATAAATCAAATGGCATTAAATGAGTGCTAATCATTATGTTGTGGTAGAAATGACCAAACGCCCTTATATGAAAAATTTATGCCAAATGACCCTTATATCTAACTTTTATTGACCAATCATAATAGAGTAATAATGAAATAAATATCTACAAGGTTTTAAGAGAGAGAAGTCGGCCTTGTACACCCCAAATGCATCATCTTCTTCTTCATCTCTCAAATCCACCATAAAAGCCACTAATCCAAGCATTTTCTTCTCAAATTTTCATAGGATTTCAAGTTGAATTTCGAAGGAGATCACCATCCACACTTTAAGAACTTCAATTTCAGGGTTTAAGGTGACATTTAAAACCCTAGTTTGTTATGTTTTTTAGTTAAAAAAGAAATTCATAATCCACCATAAAAGCCACTAATCCAAGCATTTTCTTCTCAAATTTTCATAGGATTTCAAGTTGAATTTCAAAGGAGATCACCATCCACACTTTAAGAACTTCAATTTCAGGGTTTAAGGTGACTTTTAAAACCTAGTTTGTTGTGTTTTTTAGTTAAAAGAGAAATTCATAAGTGGTTATGTGTATAAGGTAGAAAGGGTGAATCTTTGGAGCTAAGGAGGAGTGTCTTTGTGCTTTGAATACTAAGGTAAGGAAAAAATCTCCCTTATTAATACAATTGATAACACCTAGGGTTGATGAAACTTACATTTATTTATGTTAATTTGAGTGTGATGCCATGTTTTGGTTATGGATTGTGTAAATGGGTGTGTTGATTGGTGTATGTGTGCATATGGAGGATGATTATGTCAATTAAGAGATTTGTAGTTGGACGATGTTTTGGCACTTTTTGGTTCAGTGAAAAGGGAGGTTTTTATGACCTTTTATACTTAGAATGATATGGCAAATACTATGAATGTGCAAATGAAGGTGACATGGTTAAAAATGAATAGAATTCGGATTTGGCTTTCTAAGACTTAAACTGTACATGCTTCACTAAATCGGTCATAACTGAAGTTATAAAAGTTGGATTGAGTTGATTCTTTAAGTTTTAAACAGTTAAAAAATAGACCTAAAACTTTTATGTTTTAGGCAAAAATTAATTCGAATTGGAAGATGAGGAAAACATTACTTGAAAAGTGATGAACTGTATGGCATCCACCTCCTTAATAGAGATTCCCATTTTTTTTTATAAATTCTATTAATCCACTGAATATTCTTACTGTCGAAATTCCTTGTGTTGTATGAAAAATTGAATGACTTAAATTAATGAATTTAGTAGGAGAATATTCATGTCATGGAGTTTTGCTAAATTGATTGATGAGTTGTGCAATTGGCCAAGGTTACATGTTAAATGAATGAATAGTATGATTGAGCATGGGAGATGTTATCCCATATGTTTGCATTCATAATGGTAATGCATATAGCTTATTTAGTTGACTTATGAACGAATTTATGAAATGTTAAAGAATGAATTCCATGAGTCTCTTGAGGTATAAACCAAGATTAAAAGAATTGAATCTTTGTGGGAACCATGAGTCCTTTGAGGTGACGACCAAGAACAAGGTAATGGTTCAAATGAATCCGATTAGATAACAAAGACTAATGAAAACATCAAGTACAAAGACAAAAGGAATAGGCATGCCATGTTTATGAATATTGCATAGGTCATATATGTTCTATGTTATATTATGTATGATTATATTATGACTTATGTTTATGAGAAAAGTCCAAAGTGTATGATATGTTTTATGAACTTGTTAATGTCGATGAATGACAGTCATGTCTTGTAGGTAGGTAAGGTCCTGAGTAATATACTTGTATAATGAACCTGAATAGTTTATAAATGACCATATTCCCGTACTGAGCGATTAGCGCTCACCCCACGAAATGTTTTAAAATGTTTTGCAGGTAAGGATTGAGGAATGAAGCTGGGAGAGGATTATGAGGGACGCTATAAGCATGAAGGGATGTTTTAATGATGACTATTGAATGGTTTTGCTAATATTTAGTGTAGTAATTATGTTCATATCTCATAATGTAGTAAATATGTCCATGTTCTATAATGGAGTTTATATGTTTGTGTTAATAAAGGAAATCAAATTGCTAGTAAAATTTGTAAAAGTGTGTATGTTCTAGTAATTATTACTATAGATTTCATAATTTACCCCAAGAACGGAAACTATATTATTTGACTTGTACAATGAACTTATTATAGTTTAGAAATTAAAAAGAAAAAATGTTTTGAAACTACAGGTTTATTCTTTAAGTAGGATTTTAAAATAAACTTCTTTCCTAGTCGTGCTTTTTCTAGGTTCTCAATGGCCAAGGGATACATAGGAAATACCAAACTAGGGAGGGGTTTTATAGTACATTTCTTGATATGCCACCGCAACATCCTAGGAAATTGTGGTCGCTCATCCGAAGTCTTCATCCTCCCCCCCACCTTAGCCAGCACAGGGATGACCTCACACATCCAAGCCTACATTGTAAAAAAATGGTCCATATCACAATTAAAACACATATAATACAAAAAATATAACAAAAAGCCCCTAATATTTACCTGCATTGCCCATCGGAAGCCAAACAAATTGTACGTGCTCGCTCTATTCGTACAGACAGATTAAGACTGCTTTAACGCCATGTTTTTTCCTTGCAATGAGTCCATGGTTAGCGTAAATGATGCCCGTCCCCATGGATAAGCATTAAAGAAGTCCAAGTTGCTTGCAAACTTCACCCAATCCATAGTAACGACTTTTGTTGAGTCAGAAGCCATTAGGATCGAATACACGAACCATACCAGACACATTTTGAACCTCTCTGAAGAGGTATACCCACCTTCTTCTAACCTTTCCTCTAAATCGCGTCCCGTAATAGACGCTTTCTCCCCTAAAACCTTTTTAGCCAAGTTTACGGTTCCCTACTGTTCTTTATTCTCTATTGCTCTACCGCTTCTGGAAATTTCCCACATCTTAAGCTTGTCACCAAGGCATATTCCATCATCCCAAAACGTAATGGCTTTCCATCCACCACGAACCACATTTCTTTATTTTTTTTTTGCTTTTAACTGAGTGCAGCAACATATAATGCACTCCCTGCCCCCAGAATGCCTTTTTCCAATTTTCTCCCATCTTCATAAAATGATCGAAACAACTTTCTTTAAATTGGTCTAAACCATTCCTCAGTTCCTGTAAAATCTCCATTATTCTCGTAAAAATTTGCCAACTTGACCTAACTGTCACCCTTACAGGGAAGTACAGTACCTTATTGTTTACAACCTCTAACCCATAGTCTTTATAGTTTATGCTCCGGAAAATCTGCACAATCGATATAAACAAAATTTCAGCAAAAAAAAGAAACCAAAACAACTAATAGGCTGCCAACATAGTTTGTAAACAAAGAAAAAGTATCATACAATCAACTTTTCAACTAATCTTTTCATGTGTATGACAAAAAATAAAAAAGGCTTTTTGTGGTTTCATCGGAGCAGTACTTTATAAGAAAAAGTATCAACTTTTCAATTAAAGGAGTCAAGAAAGTAATCTTGGTTTCTAGTTCAAGTAAACCAGCCATGTTCCATTTTATAAAGCCTTGAAACANAAAAAAAAAAAAAAAAAAAAAAAAAAAAAAAAAAGGAAGGTTTTTTGAGGTTTCATTGGTTTTGTTTGATTTAGAAATTATGGTATAAAGTTGAGTGGTGATGGTGAGCCAACCTAAAAGTAGTGACCTTCTTCTAATAATAAGCTGGCTAATCGTATAATGATATTTAATATTTGTCCTTCAATCATCTAATGTTTTGACATTTAATCAAAATATAACAAACAAAGTAATTTGCCCGTTATATAATAAAGCAACGAAAAATCTAATGCATTATAGCCAGCCTTGCAATTTAACACTTCTAACACAACAATCATAGCCAACCCTGCAAACAATCATGAAACCCCTACAGCCTTATAGTAGTCAATTATGGGCAATAATGTTGTCACTATTCTATTTTAAAGTTCATTTGCTCAAACTGATGGCATTTTGATTGATACCCTTTTGAAATAACAACTCTAAACTATAACCTTACTAATCTCTTTGTCAGACTAATAACATATTGAATCTTGAAGTGTGAATGAATCGAGGTTTTGACTTGAAATATTTTTGAATTCTAGTTATACTTTTGATAACTTCTAGGTGGTGATGTAGCTTAAAGCTTTTGGTTAACAATTGCCATTATGTTTGTGGGAACTTTGAACAGGGTAAATCAGTGGACGTTCAACAAGCTGCTGGTTTGTTGTTGAAAAATAACCTTAGAACAACATACAAATCTATGGCTCCTGCAAACCAACAGTATATAAAGTCAAAGTTGTTGCCTTGTTTAGGAGCTACTGATAGGCACATCAGGTCCACTGTTGGGACTGTTGTTAGTGTTTTTGTTCAACTAGGTGGGATTTCAATATGGCCTGAACTGTTGCAAGCTCTAGTAAATTGTTTGGATAGTAATGACATCAATCATATGGAAGGTGCTATGGATGCTTTGTCCAAGGTATATCCTGCTTTTTAGAACTAATGAATCTTTCGGCTATTAGTTTTTTGTTCTATATTTATGTAATCTATCTCCAAATTATACATATTTAATTTTGTTTTCAACTTCCATATGACTATGTTCCCCACCTTACTTGGTCTGAATCTCACACTAAATTCTAAAATCTATGCAAACAATCATGCAACCCCTCGCGCAGCGCGCACAGTGCTGTGCGTGGTCAGCCTTGCCAATATGCAGGGCAACCCTCCAACCTGCCAAATTCAGCCACCTCCTGCCATCCCCAACCCACCAAACTCCTGAAACAACCTCCCTATGGCCTCCCTTGCCTTCCCTCATCCTTTGGAACCCAAACAAAGCCACTCCACCAATGTCTGCCAACTGCTTAACAAAACGCCACAACCACATCTCCCCTAAATTCGCACAAATCAATCCATTTTCTCATCCAATTCAAAAAAACAAGTAAAAATAAGTACCATTTCTTCACCGGCGTCCTCCTCCTCGCCTGAATTCTCGCCAGCGTCCTCCTTTTCAAAACTGTTTTCTGATTCTTCTCTCTATTCTTGTGTCGTCATCGTCTCCTCTGCCTGTGGATCACCTTCACTCATCGGATGATCCACCGGAGTGTCGTCTTCGACAGCCTTTGAACTGCTAGCGCTACAGAGGTCTAGGTTTCGAAGTGGGGTTGAGTTTTCTTCATCTTTGTGAATGTCAGCCATGATTTTGTGTAAGGAAGCTTTAGGATTGAAAATGGATTGAATATTTGTCAGAATTTGGGCACTATAGTCGTTGGAAATTGCAGAGAAAGGAATAGTCTTCGTCGGTTGTTTTTTAGCTAACACCTTCGATTAAGCGATTTTGAATGGGTAGGGCTCATTTTCAAATTTCAAAATTTAAACAACTTTCGTTAATTATGATTTTACCCATATATGTTTAAATTTTTTTAGTTTAACCCATTTTACATATTTAATGAATCCTAAGTGTACCACATCAGCTTTTCTAAATTAAAAAAAATCAAAAAGATTTTCAATGTCATTTGTTAAATGCAAACTTAGGATGTTGGGGGAGTTAAATTTCCTCCTTGCTAGTTGCTACTACGAGTGATATGATGGGAAGATAAGAAAGGAAACGGCGTCGCACAACCACATCGACTCAACGTAAACGAAACGAAGGAACTTCTCTACGAGTCCTATTTCAGTTAGAGAATGGAGGACTTTTGGAAGAGAGCCAAAACCTTCGCGGAAGAAGCGGCGAAAAAATCACAAAGCATAACGACCTCAACGAAAATCGCCGATCTGGTCGCCGAGACTGCCAAGAAGTCTAAAGAACTGGCATTGGAAGCGTCTAAGAAAGCCGATGAGATCAAAACTGCGGCGCTCAAACAAGCCGATCAGATCCCTATCAAGTCCATCACCGACATCATTCCTCCTCAGCTCTCTTCGTTGTCGTCCATTGCCACCTCATCATCCTCTTCTTCGGATCTCACCATCTCCGACTCTGAGCTACGGAAATTCGGTGTCACTGATGATTTGAAAGAGTTCGTTAGAGGACTTACTTCTAGTACATTCCAGAACTTTCCTATTCAAGGTAGGTGAAAAATAAAGTCACTAAAAGTTCAGTCCTTTTTTTTATTTTTTGTTTTAATTTTTCGGCATTGTGAGTATATAGATGAAGCTGAGACGTCTGATGTGCCTACCACGACTTCGAATGTGAGGAAGGATCTGACGGAGTGGCAGGAGAGACATGCTACGCTTGTTCTCGCCACTGTCAAGGTAATCTAAGATTTTTTTTTTTTTGAGAAATGTATATGTATTAATTTGATATTTTTGTACATCAGAGGTGGAATTTAGTTTAAAGTGGGGGACTAATTTTTATAATAATTAATTGCTGCAGGCAATCTCCAAGTTGAGATATGAATTATGCCCCCGTGTTATGAAAGAAAGGAAATTCTGGAAGATATATTTTACGCTTGTTAGCACTCATGTAGCTCCGTAAGTAACTTTTAATTTATCTAATTCTGTTTTGGCTTACAATACGTTAAAACTTTGCTTCATTGTGATCTTGGAAAAAAAGTGACTTTGACGGTGTCTTAGTGTAAACATTGTTGTTTATGAATTCTTGTTAGTAGAAGAGATTTGTTATTAGAATTGACGTCATTTTGTATTGTATCCAGAGAAGAAAGAAACCCGAAGACAATTTTAATAAGAATGATCTGTTAAATTTCTTCTCATCAATAGTATGTTCATGGGTAAACGTTGATTCATATGTGTTTGAATTTTGTGCAAAATAGTGTAGATCATTAGAAACTGAACATTTGGCATGGCAATATAGGTTAGACAATTGGAGTATAGTTAACTGTTTCCATTTAAAGCCAATATTTGTTGATTTCTTTGGTTTCCATAGCCCGCTTGTCAGAGCCCATGAGATAATGCAGTTTTTAATTTTTTGATTTCTCGGTTTGGGTATAGTGGAATAAAATCAAGATAAAAAAATTGAAACCTGAATAAGAATATTTATGTGATTTATATTTTAAGGCTTGTTTTAATTAAGCTTTATAGATGGAATTACTGAATCTTTAGAACATATGCTAATGAATAAGTGAGGTTCCTGTTGAATTGAGTTAGTTGGTAAAGGATCGCAAAATGTAAACTGGAATCGCAAAATGTAAACTGAAGTACAGAGGTGAATTTGGGAAGAAGACAGAATAATTCTCATTAACAAAAAAATACTGTAGCTTACAAATTTATAATACAAAAGGAAAGTAACTTCCAAAACTAACTATTTTTACATTACAGCTAGCTAAGTCAACCCAGTCAACCATTCTTAATATCCCAACATCCTCCCTTAAACAAAACCTCTACAACTTGTCACTACTTCCAGTAACCAATATTACCAACTATCCTAACATCCTCCCTTAAACAAAACATCTTTAACTTCCATTACTTGTGTGACCATTATCACTACTTTTGCCACATTATCAATCTGCTGCACCTTAGATCAATCAAGTAAATATCACCTAAAACCACCAATATCTTTCTTGTCACCAACAAACCTGCAAAACTCCATGACAAAGAAGTGCAAGCACATTCCACCAGTAACCCTGCAAAATTTCATCATAAAGAAGTGCAAACAAAGCTCCACCAGAACTACAAACAAAATTCTACCAGAATTGCAAACAAAACTCCACCATATCCATCAGTAAAAAAAAATGACATCAATATTTAGCTGGTAAGAAGCCACTCAGGCAACTGCACCAACTCCAGTCACCTACATCATCTTCAGCAGACAAACTCAATTGTACACCAAACTTCACAGCTGCTAAGAAGCCACTCAGGCAACTGCACCAACTCCAGTCACCTACACTAATATTTAGCAGACAACCTCAATTGTACACCAAACTTCACAGTTGCTAAGAAGCCAAGTTAGTTGGTAAAGGGTCGCAAAATGTAAACTGAAGTACAGAGGTGAATTTGGGAAGAAGACAGAATAATTCTCATTAACAAAAAAAACTGTAGCTTACAAATTTATAATACAGAAGGAAGGGCAAAACAGTAACTTCCAAAACAAACTATTTTAACAGCTAGCTAAGTCAACCCAGTCAACCATTCTTAATATCCTAACAAATTGATGGAAATGTCTCTTTATCTTTGCTATACTTAAACTCAGGTATGAGAAGCAGTACATGGAGGAAATTAAGCTCAAAGCAAAGGAGATCAAGGATGACCAAGTGAAGCCAACTCCTGTAGTTGGAGATACTGATAAGTCAGAGGTGACGGGGAAGAGCTCGAAAAGTAAGACTTCATCCACTGAGCAGGACTTGGACACATTTCTTTTGGGAGATCTCGAAGATAGTGATGGGGGTCCAGGTATGTTCTTTTAACTCTGGGATGCATGGTCATGATCCATAAGCCAATGTGATCTCAGGTTCACCATTCAGATGGTTGCGACGTTCTTTTCTCAATTCAAACTTTATCACCCTTGCCCTGGGTCTATGATGTGACCAAGCATTCAATTATTGCATAGTATAAGTATGTAATCTTTCTGCGCAATATAACAGCTCTCCTGCAATGCAACTTGTTTGCACCTGACATATTCACTTTGAGCGATGTAGTTATGATGCATCAATGTAGTCAATTGTCAGCTTTGATGACAACATAATGTATCAGTGCGTTTTGAAATTTCCAGAATGGTATCGAGTTGTCAAAAAATTGAGCTGTTGAAATAAGAGATGGTGAAATGCCTGATTGAGTGGAAATTGAAATGCTTCAATGCCTTGCTTTCTTTTCTTTTTCTTTTTCAATTTTAATGCATTTAAAGATAAGTGTTGGACTCTCTTTGTGGCAATATATACAATAAGAAATTGAATGATGTAGCTCATTTGTTGAGCTCTTTGAACGTTCTTGTTATTTTCTATGCTAAACGAAGAACTTGGTGAATTGATAATGATATACATTTTCTAGTGATAAGCTGTTTTCTTTTTCTTCTGTGGTCCACAAGCAAAGCCCATAAAATAATGTTCATTCCTTGTCATTGGTGAACGTAGTTTGCTCAATTTTGGCTGGTTAACTTTATTGTGTTATCATTTTCAGTTGCTTTTATCAGCCTATGCACATTGTATACAGAAGTGATCTTCTGGTTTTACTTATTGCACAAATTTTTACATGTGGACTAGGGCAAGATCACGAATAAACTGCACCTGACAATTTATGTTTTATTGTCTTTGGTGTTTGATTTGGCAATTTTACAAGCTGTTGGCACATTGTCTTTCAGATGATGGTGATGCAAGCTTTGATGATGATTTTGACAAGATTGGCAATTCTGTAAGTTACCTTCTGATTTCCTTCCTGTCAGCGTCCAATGTTGTACCTTCTGTTTTACTTTTCCCTATTTCTTTAAGAATCATTTGAGGTTTCACCAGAATTTGATTATCAATGACGGACATGATTAGTGTGCAGCACCTTGCCGGAGTAGTTATACCTAAATTAATTTGCATTTGTTTCATTTATGGCCATGTCCAGGATGTTGAGGATGAGAAGCGTCCCGAGAAGGCAGATGCTACTGACAGCTAGAGTGCTGCCAGTAATTGATGAAGAGGACTGCAGATGAGAAACAAATGAACAGTTAATGCAGTATCCGAAAGTTTACGAGGGTGAACTTTGGTGGAGCCGTGGAGGTAGTAGAGGTTTGGTTTGTTGGAAAATATGCAGATGGTATTTACTTTTGAGTAATTGTGTTAATGTTGACAGATTATGGTGCCTATTTTTAGTTAAATAGAGGAGGTTAGAATTTCAATGTGCCTTGTACAGCACAATGTATTTGTTAATTCAAAATGTTTCATTGATTGTGATGAGAACACCCGAAAATCACCCCCAAACTCAATGAAATACTGTTAATGAAAACTAAATGGCACAGCTCTGTTTTGGAGACCCAACTGATATATATTGATTTGAATGGCAAAACACCGTAAGCAGAAGAATAAAATGACAAGAAAAGATAAAATAGTTGCTAGCACGTCGAGGGTCTAGCGGCCTTCCAACTAATTCCAGTTTCTCTATATCCCATCAGCTAGCTATTGCTCCCCTTTAAATACAACTGATATCACACTTTCTGTACTCAAGTAATCACACTTTTCTACCCTCCCTTACGTGGAGATTCCTCCTAACCAATTCTAATCTGAATTCCCCTTGCTGCCATTGTCCACTGAATTTCCCAGGTTGCCCTTTTTCTTCTTCTTGTACAATTTAGTTATAGGAGGCTTATCAATACCCCACCCTTCTTCGAGACCTACCTTGTCCTCAAGGTGAAAATCTGGAAACTGCAGCAAGATCACATCATAAGCCTCCCAAGAAGCTTCAAATGGTGGGCGGTCCTGTCATTTAATTAGAACCTCCAGAGAACCATTCAGCAGTTTGCAAGTAGAGAGGACTGCTTCAAGATAAACCTGTAGTTCTAAGTCTTCAATTAAAAAGGGGGGAAGCTGTTGATCCGGAACTGAAGAGTGGAGACTTGGCTTAAGCTGGGAAACATGAAACACCGGGTGGATTCTAGAAGTCGGCGAGAGGTCCAATCGATAGGCCACAAGACCAATCCTGTCTAACACCTTAAAGGGCCCATAGAAGCGGGGACTTAGCTTCTCATTGAGCTTCCTAGCTAAGGACCGAAACCAATATGGTTGGAGTTTCAAATAGGCGAAATCCCCTGGGTGAAAAACAACATTCCGGGGTGTGAATCCGCAGACTGCTTCATCTGCTCTTAAGCAACAGCCAAATTGTGCTTGAGGTCTTCCAATATGGCATTTCGGTCTCTAATCTGGCGGTTGACATCTTCAATCAAAGAGGGGCAGTCCGTGAGTTTTAACAGAATGGGAGGGTCTCTGCCATAAAGAGCTTTGAAGGGGTCATTTTGGTGGAACTGTGGTATGTCGTGTTGTACCAAAACTCAACCCACGCTAACCATTTGGGCCACTGTCGGGGTTGGGAGCTGCAAAAACAGTGGAGGTAGGCTTCTAAGCACCGGTTAACCACCTCTGTTTGCCCATCTGTTTGGGGATGGTAGGCAGAGCTGAATTTAAGAGATGTACCTGCTGCTTTAAACAACTCTTACCAAAATTGGCTCATGAAGACCCTATCGCGATCATACACAATAGATTGTGGAAAACCATGGAGTTTTACCACCTCACATATGAACACAATGGCGACATCCTTGGCTGTGTACGAATGGGTTAACAATAGGAAATAGGATTATTTCATGAGACAATCAACTACCACGAAGATAGTGTCAACCCCTTTGGCCTTTGGCAAACCACCGATGAAGTCCATTGAAAGGTCACCAAACACTTGGGTTGGAATAGGGAGGGGCTGTAACAGCCCTGCAGGCCTGAGTGAAGAATGTTTATTGACTTGGCAGGTAGCACATGTCTGTACAAATTTGATCACATCCCTTTGGATACCCTCCCAAAACACAATAGTAGTAATGCGTTTATAAGTCCGAAAGAA